GGTGGGGTGCCAATCTGTGAATTCATTGGTATAGAGAATTCCCGAGTGAGTAAAAACCAGTGCAGGTTGGTACCTTCTCTGCAACCTGTAGTCTTTAAAAATTTTTTTAGAAATTTATTTTCTTCTCAATTCATGGTACAAAACAAGCTATGTTCCATAACACAGTATAATAAAGAGATGATTGCACATGATGATCGTAACCTATAGTCTTAGATATTTAACTACAGTGCTACTTTACCCAAGGTCATAATATCAGGATGTATCAGAGGAAAGACTGTAACTTAATTTTTTTTGGCTTTTAGGCTGATTTCCTATCCACTTTTGTATAATAACCCATTGTTGTAAATTATAACACTGAAAATGTATTTATATATTTATATTGACTTCAAGCAGTTATCATATCTTAGTGATGTAATATAGGATCTGGCAGCAAATTGATTTAGGTTCAAATGTCACTTTTAAGACATAAACAGCTTAAACCCTCTGAACCACATGCAATCCTCTAGGATTTTCCATGTCAGACAGGTTCAGTTGGCAGCCCCATGCCTGTGAAATCACAGGATAGAGTCTGCCAAGGAGACATTGACAATTGTAGTATTACATATCAGGCAATGTATTATTCTTACAGTACAGGTTTCAGAGTAGGTGTCTCTTTGTAGGTTCTTATATGAACTTGAATAACTAATGACAGAAATATTAGGAAGGAAAGCAGTCAAAGAAACTCTGCTGTAGGTAAAATGGGCCCCTAGCATACTTTGTGACTATCACACTTTGTAATTCTCAGGCAAAATTTCATGAGCTATCAGGAAAGCATTTCATTTTCATTTTTCTTTGTAGGTGCTCAAGCATCAATTCAGATTATTTCCTTTTAGCAATGGTTTGCCTATGAATGGAAACTAGGAGGAAACTTGAAAATAACGGCATTGGTGGTTTGTTACTCCTTCAAAAGCATTGGTGGTTTACTTAAAAAGTGCTCAAAGAAGCCTTAGTCTCTCCTGTTTCCCTTGTGGGCCAATGCTGCTACAGCCAAAAAGACAAAACTGTGTCAGGCACTGTGCTAAACACAGGATGTAGATGTAGATATAGACAGATATATCTATATGGATAAAAATGGATATATAGATATAGATATGTAAAAGGCAAAAGACAGTCCTTACTCTCAAAGAGCTCCCGATCTAATAGGTAGATGACATGCAAATAACTATCTACAAACAAGATACAGACAGGATAAATTGGAGATAATCAACAGAAGAACAATAAGGGGATCAGGAAAGGCTTCCTGTAGAAGGAGGGATTTTAGTTAGGAATTGATCCTTCAAGTCAAGGAAGGCAGGGAATAGAGATGAGGAGGAGAGCATTATAGGCATGGGGTATAGCCAGTGAAAATGCCTGGAATCTGGGCTAGGTGCTGTGGACACAAAGACAGAAATCAAACAGCCCCTACCCCTCAGGAAGCTTACATTCTATGGGGTGTGGGGGAGGGGAGAAACAGCATGTATACCTAGGAATAAATGCAAAATCCATGCAAAATCCATGCATTTCCAGAGGAAATGCGCATGTCTAATATGAAAGCATTTTGTTAATAATACAGCAGTTGTTGCATAATGCAAATTGGAATAGCAGTAAAAAAATGGGATAGAAACACTTGAAAGGATAATTTGAATGAGTATGAGGGAGTAAGAAGGGAATGTCTGCTCAGGCAGCGTGTCACTGAGCATCATGGATGAAGTCAGTAAATTATAGAGGCTTCCACTTTTCACAGGAACAAAGTTCACAAGAACAAAGGTTACCTTGATTTGATTATCAGTCTATGTGTAACAGGAAGAGAGAACTCAGGAAAACAGGATCCTATTGTCTATACTTCATCTAACCTGGACTCTTCACTATTCTCCTATACTTGGAATGTGCCTCCCAGCTCCCCAATCTTCTGCTGTTGAAATCCTATCCATATTTCATGGCCCAGGACCCACCTCTTTTATTAAGACTTTCCAGGAAGACTCTACCCAACTAAAAATTCTATCTCATTTGGAAATCTGCAATTAAATCCCTCCTTCCCCCAACTTAGTATACTCTAGTAGCTCACTATTACTTACTTGTAGGATCAAATATAAAAAAGCTTATAAAATGCTGTTTAAAGCCCTTCACATCCTGGCCCCATCCCACTTTTCTAATCTCATACTTTACTTCTCTCTACATACTCTGCAATATAATGACATTGGCTTTTTTGAAGCTTTTCACACTCACCACTCTCTCTCCCAGGTCCATGCCTTTTCCTTGGCTGTCCCCCATGTTCTCTCTTCTCACCTTGGCCTCCTTGATTCCCCTCCTTTCTTCAAGACTCAGTTCAAATTGTACCTTCTGTAGCAGGTCTTTTCCTATCCTTACCTCTCCATCCTTCCCTCTGGGATTACCTTCCATTTATATCACATGTATTTTGTATGTATATAGTTTTTTGCATATTATCTCTTCCACTAAAATATGAGCTCGTTGAAGACAGAGAGCTTTTACCTTTGGCAGGGGGGCCTAGTGTTGAGTATGGTCCTGCTCTTCACAACCTCTCACAGTAGACACTAAATGTTTATTGTATTTAATTGTGTTCTCCTTTTCCTTTATAACCCTTTACCCTCAACTCAAGCCTATAATGGAAAGTACTGAAGCTTATCATACAACATTATACTTCCTGTCTATATGATTCCCCTTGTTGCTACTTTGGGCAAAGGTTCATGGAGGGTAGATGAGGAGAATGGAAAGTAAAAGAAGAGTTTTGATCTTCAACACATATGGATCTTTTCTGGCATACCATGCCCTTATGAATTATATCATAGAAAGTTGGGGACAATGAGGGAGAAAAAGGGTGAAAAGGAAAACTCCTTCCTTTGTAAGGAAGCTGTATTTAGTTATACGGTGTAAACACATGTGTATGTAATCCCCTTGAGGTCAAGGACTGTTTAATTTTGTCTTTATATCCCTAGTACCTTGCAAATAGTAGGTACTTAATAAGTGCTTGTTGATTGATACGAATACAGAATTTTATGTAATATTGGCACCAAAAGCTCATAGACTTAGGGCTAGAAATGACCTCAGAGTCCACTAAGCCCAACTCCCGCTTTTTATAGAGGAGGAAACAAAGACCCAGGCAGGTTGTGACTTGCTCAAGGTCACAGAGGTATGAACCCAGATGCTTTTTCCATTATACCATACTACCTCCCTAAAAAGAGTTTCTTATGTTATAAGTACAATGAAAATGTTTGAATGTAATGATTAATGATAAATACACAACATATATGAACTCAAATATGAAATATTAAATTAATCTTCTAGTTCCCCATAGTTCTCTTCTCCCCCCCAATGTAATTCCCCAGAGGAAGTGTAGCCTAATGGACAGCGCTGGCATTAATTGTAGCAAGATCTGGATTCCAGACCCACCTTTGACACTAACCATCTGTGTGATCCTGGGCAAATGACTTAACTCTTAAGGCCCCAAGTACCTCCCTGAGACGGTAAATTGCAGGACAGTGGTCCGTGTAAATAGGCAAAGAGACATTTCTTCCCTGAGAAATCCTTTTCCACATCAAGGAAATCACAAGTCCCAGTAAAAAGCCCCAGAGCTCCCACAACTGATCCCCTGTTCTTAATTCCTTCACTTTTTTCTGCCCTTGAAAATATGTTGCTGGTTAAGATAAAACTGTTCTTTAAGAAAGAGGATCCAAATGGAGAATGTGAAATCTTGGATTTACAAAAGACCTAAAGTGACTTCAGGAACAACTTTTCCCTCCCTCTCCTCCTGGCTGTCTCATGTCCAAGGCCCCCTAATAAACGCTTTCCAATTTCCAGCAGCTTGAGCAGACTCTGCCCTGCCCTCCCTGCAGTGTCCACAGTGCACTCCTGCTGACTCTTACCTTCTCACCAGAGCACCCTACCACCCCTCAACAACTGTATTAGGTCCTGAACTTTGCACTCTCACTGGGCTCTCAGACACCACTGTGAAAGTGCCCTACTTCCTCATTGAAGCCCTGTGGGGCTGTAAGCTAGTCCTGCTTGGCCCTCAGGTGGAAAACCTGGTGGAAGTATGAACCCCCACTGCCAGTATTGCTAGTCCTGGACCCCCCTCTCACTGCCAGGTCAGTCAACTAAGGGGAGCAGAGCTGGTGGAAGAGTCATCTCAGCTTCTGGATTTGGAAGCTTAGGGTTGGTGATGGATAGGAGAGGGGGATTCTTTTCTAGAGAATGAGCGGAACTACGACGGGGAGGATGTATTTGTGATGTCCATCTTGAGACTCAGAAACAATACTGCCTCAGATGTTTGCTGACCGAGTGACCCTGAGTTGTCACTTAACCTATTTGTGCCTCCACTTTCTCATCTGTACGTTGGGATGGGTTGGACTCATTATCCTCTAAGGTCTCTTTTAGCTTTAAATCTATGATCATTTAATCCTAACTTTGTTTCCATTGGAGGGAAATGGTCTTCTGGGTTCCTAATCAGTGACACCTCAGGACACAGCTAATTCACAAATTGGAGATGGACTGGTTTGCCCACAAATGTCTTTATTACTTCTTATTTCCCCCCTAAAATCCAATAAGACAAAAGGGCTTCTGCTACCGGTACCATTTTAGCCTGAGGTATGTTGTCTTTCTGGGCTCTCACACAAGGAAAAGTGTGAGACACAAGCTCCATCTTAAGGTCACTTTGTGCCTGTTGCTGGCAAGCACAAAACTTTCTTTAAGAATCAAACAAAACTTGCTTTTTTATTTTTAAAAAAGCACATTCCATCCTCTAAATTCCAAAAGCTAGAATCAGTAGGGGGAAAAAAGGAACTTTTGAAGTCACATCTACTTTGAAGGCTGTCAAGTCAGCATGTTTCCAAAAACGGCAGGACAACCAGAAGAATGGGACCTGATCTATAAAAGCAGCCTTACCTATCTACCTACGCTGCACCTTGAGAGGACTCCTGTTAGTCACAGAAATCAAGGAAATTAATAAAGATTAAAAAAAACCTTACCATTATTTTTCTAGTGAGTCCACGAGTCTGTTGTGCTCTATGCCAGTGATGCTGTGACTTGGACAGTGAATGTGCAAGTTAACCCCAGGGCAGGCACTTCCTTTTTTCTCTTTTTTTTTTTCAATTGTGTGGTCTCCGCACCCTTTTACACATAGATATATAGTTTCTTGTTTGCATATTATCTCCAGTGAGCACATAATTTGTGAGACCAAGAAGTAGGGTTTATCTGGTTAACAACAATAGGACTATGTGAATAAGTACATGCTCTTGAAAGAAAAATAATAATTCATATTTATGTAGTGAATTATTGCCTATAAAGAGCTTTTCTTTTAACACTCCTGTGAGGATAGAGATGGATAGACAGAGAGACAGACAGAGAGACAGAGTGACAGAAACAAACACAGAAAGACAGAGAGAAAAAGAGACAGAGACAGAAATAGAGAGGCAGAGAGTACTTCACATATGTACACTATCTCATTTAATTCTTATGAGGTAAGTACTACGTGTTGTTGTTCAGTCACTTTTAGTTGTGTTCAACTCTTCGTGACCCTATTTGGGGTTTTCTTAGCAAAGATACTGGAGTGGTTTGCCATTTCCTTTTCCGGCTCATTTTACAAATGAGAAACTGAGGCAAACAGGGTGAAGTGACTTCCCCAGGGTCACATTGCTAGTAAAAGTTTGAGGCCAGATTTGGACTCAGGAGGATGAGTCTTCCTGACTCCAGGCCGAACACTCTAAACACTTCACCACCCAGCTGCCCTCTAGGCACCATAGCTATTAGTATCTCCATTTCATAGATGAGGAAGTTGAAGCTCAGAAAGAGAGAGAGAGAGAGAGAGCTTAGGTGACCTGCCCATGCTGTTACACGGCTAATAATTGTTATTACATAGCTAATTATAATCTGAGACAAGATTGGCTCCTAGGTCTTTTTGACTTTAAGGCCAGTACTCCATCGGTAACTTGCTAAACTTTGTCAAACATCTTACCAAAGTTTTGATGCTGCAGTTCTGTCAAGTTGACAATATTTCTATTTGGAAATTAAATTTAAGCCCAGATGAATCTAAAGATATCCTTACTTGAATAGACCTCTGAGGGCCCAGCTCCTTAATCTGCTCAACTCCTTTGACCTACCAGTGTTGCTCCACTTCACCTCAGTTCCACACGGAGACTTGGGTGTGTTTCTAGGCAGGACTAAAGGAAACGTTAGAGCGCAGGAGAGTGAGATAATGGAGAAAGGATGGGTACAATTTGCTGGAGAAGATGGGAGGAGAATGAATAGGAGCGAGGGGATTTGCCTTGGTGAAGAAAAGGTTCGCCTCTTCATTGGAGGCTGAAGTAAAAGAGTAAGGAATGGGAGATGATGTTGTGAGATGTTGAGAAAGGGAAAAGAGGGAGTTCAGGCTGAATGGCCTCTTTTTTCTCATTAAAGCGTCTTCAGTTGTGAAGGCAAAGAGAAGGGAGAGAAGTGGAGTGGGAGATTTGAGGGGAGAACAGAAACCTCTGTAGCAAATAGGACAGAATTAATCAGGGAAGAGTGAAACTACTGCTTTGCTGACGTTGGCACCTAGTTGAGATTGGACCACATACACTTGTAGGGGACTCACTTGGCACAGTTACATGACTTTTCCCAGCTTCATTCAGTAGCATGTGAGTAGAAGCACAGTATTACTCTGGGAATGGGTTTGGTAAAGCAAGGATAACAGAAAGACAAGGGAGCCAGGGATTGTTCAGATTGCCCTCATTATCAACCCCTTCTTTTCCAGTCTTCAATCTCTTCCTTTTTTACTGGTTGCTTCCCTGTTGCTTGCAAATATACCAAGTCCCCCTTATCCTTAAAAACAAACAAACAAACAAAAAACAGCAAAAAAAACCCCCCAAAACCTTTGCTAGACACTAACATCCCCTCAAGCTATCATCATATCTCTCCTTTTTTCAACCAAATTCTTAGAAAAAGCTACCATAGTTGCCTCCATTTTTTCTATCAGTAAATTTATCAAAAAGCATTGATGAAGCACCTATTACGTCTTGGGGATACAAAGCAAAAGCAAAAACAATTCCTGCTCTTAAGGAGCTTACATTCTAGCGGGCAAGACAACATACACAGAAATAAGTCCATACAAGACAGAGCAGATATAAGATAACCTTAGAGGAGAAAACACTAGCAGCTAGAAACTGAGAAAGGCCTCTTGTAGAAAGTAAGATTTGAACTAAGATTTGAAGGAAGCCAGAGATTCTGAGAGTTGCGGGTGAAGAGGGAGACCATTCCAGACATGGGGGAAAGCCAGGGTAAAGGAAATAGTAGATAGAGTATTATGTGTGAGGAGCAGCAAGTAGACCAGTAAGGCTGACCACAGAGAGGAGGAGGAGGAGACTTGGGTGCTTCCTTATAGCTAGCAGGGAAGGAATAGATACAGAAACTTTGGAAGGCTTGTACGGACTGATGCACAAAATCTCTAAGAAAACTGTTTGCACAATGGTCTCAACATTATGAATGAAAACAATTTTAAAAGATCAACGATCAATGAAGCGAACAAGCATGACTCCTACCTCTTGGTGGAGAAGTGATGGACTATAGGTACAGAATGAGACATACCATACATTTTCAGACAAGACCAAGACAACACAGATCTATTTTGTTTAACTATTCTCATTTGCTTCAAGGGAATATTTTTATTTTTATGGGGAAGACAGGAGGATAAATGAAAAGAGTAAAAAAAAAGACACCCATCAATGAAGCATTCAAAAACACACAGAAAGGGACACAGATGAGAAATGGAATGTTGTACTCTCATGTTAAACTTAATATACATTTTTAAAAGTATGTAATAAATTCATGATTTCATATTTCTAAAAAAATTACTGATTGATCTCACTGATATATTCTTTTGAGGCATGCCTTCACTGTCTGTGTTATTGTTTTCTATGACTTCCATATTTTTTTGTCTTGATTTTGTTATTTTCCTCACAAAAATGAACAAAATGGTCCAATAAGAGGTTTCCTTTTTTTTACTTATTCATTAGCACTGGAAGACTTATCTACAAATGGGATAGAACAACCATATTTGGGCTTAATGGGATCTTTGATTCCAGTGGCCAAATGTCAATTCCTGCTACTGACCAAATTTGCCTATTTGCTCTAGTATTTTGTTTTTCTAAAAAGGCAGGTGATATTTTGAACATGTAGCTTAATGTGTGATTGCCATCTTAGGTATAGATTGCCATCTTCACCCCTCATAATAATTCAGTTTGTCAAGAGGGACCAAACTACTAATAGTTTATTCTCAAGAAGCAGGTTTTTAGCTCAGTTTTGGTTGTTTGCTTAAGAAGAGCACCTGTAGAAAAAGCTTATTAATTTCTAAGTGGAATTCAACAAGCATTTTACCAAGTGTTTACCATATATAGTTAGGTCATGATTAATGAGTTTGAATAATGCAAAATTTGATTTAATGTGAATTACAAAATGATATAAGGTCATATTTAATGAGAGCCAAAATCCAACTACTTATGTGACTGAATGCCGGCTAGTTGAGGGTTTTATATCATCAATTTGCATTTGCCTATTATTACATGTGGATGTGCTGTGCTGCTATAAACCATATTACCAAGAGTTGTATCTTTTTTTAAAGAGCCCTTACCAAAATGGACAAAAAGAATAATACTTCAAATGGAAACACTGCCAAAGCCAAAATAAAAAAAAAAGAAAGAACAAAGAAACAAAGAAAGAAAAGAAAAGAGGCTTGTTGTTGCATTAGAACAAAAATTTAATATAATTGAATGGCATGAATGTGGTTCCAGTACATCTAAAACAGGACCATATGTAGGAATGCTTAAATCTATGGTACAGATTATTATAAACCATGTAGGAGAAATAAAAGAAAAAGGTAAATTGCATCAACTTTTCATGTTTGCAGACTACAAGGAATAGAAATGTCACAATGATAGAAATAAAGTTGTGTGGATTGAAGACTGCAATAAAAAATGCATTCCTCTTAGCATCAAGTTTATTCAAGATACTTAAAGTTTCACATTTATTTATTTATTTAAGTTTGTTTCCAAAGAAAATGGAAATGTAATGGATAGTGGAGAAATTTTTCTGCAAGCTTGATAGATTCCATCACATTAAAAACTGAGTTCAATTGAATAATGTTAAAATCAAGAGAGATTGATGTTTGGAAGTAAATAATTGAAGAAGGTGGATATGCTGATCAACAAAATTTTAATGTGGATGAAATTGGCTTGTTCTTGAAAAGGATGTTTTCTAGAACTTACATTTCTAAGAAAGAAAAAATTCAACCTTCATTTAAAGTGTTTCAGGATTGCCTAACATTTTATTGAGAGTTGATGAAGAAGATTTTAAACTAAAACTAGTGTTTATCTGTTCGAAAATCTTTGTACTCCCACTTCTAGCTCTTCATGGTCAAATAAGAAACCATGGGTTCTTAAAATTGTTTTTGAAGTCTGGCTTTTAAGTTATCTTTTGCTCAACTGTTGGAAAATATCACCAGGACAACAATATCTCCTTAAAAGTATTACTGATTTGAGATAATGCCACAGGTCGTCCAATTACATTTGGTACATTTTGTGAGAATTTGAACATGCAAATTCCCCAAGATCTGGATAAAGTTCTATGTGTTCCATATGAAGATTCAAAGAGGAGACAGTTCTCTCTGTTCAGCCATTTTTTCAGTTGTGTCCAACTCTTTGTGACCCCATTTCAGATTTTCTTGGCAAATACACTGGAATGGTTTGCCATTTCCTCTTCCAGCTCATTTTACAGATGAGGAAACTGAGGCAAAAGAATTAAGTAACTTGCCCAGGTCTTCTTGTTGTTGTTCAGTCATTTCAGTAACGCCTGACTGTCCACGATCTCATTTTTGGGTTTGCTTGACAAAGATCCTGGAGCTGTTTGGCATTTCCTTCTTCAGCTCGTTTTACAGATAAGGAAACTGAGGCAGAATTAAGGGACTTGCCCAGGGTCACACAGCTAGTAAGTATCTGAGGACAGATTTCTATCTACTCTTCTTAAATATTTTAAACAATATTAATTTTAAAC